GAAGTGATGTCATGCTGGACAAGAATCAGAGTCAGAATAACATTTTTTCATATTCGGACTCGAGTCCGAATAATCACTTCGATTTCCAAAATAATGTTTTTGTTTCTAAAGATCTATTCTAGATCTAGATAGATTGGAATCTAGAATCTAGATTCCATATATATATAGATTCTAGACCTTGATATTAGATCTAGATCTAGATCTAGTCATCTAGAATTTAGTTAAGGTTCCCGCGTTTAATTCCGATGTGCATTTTTCAGGGTTAGGGTTAGATCTAGGGTTAGGGTCAGGGTTAGGGTGAGGGACCAAAGCGAAACATGCTTGAGGCTATGAAAAACGCACATCTGAATTAAAAAGCGTGGGAATCTTAACAATCACTAGATCTAGATCTAGATCTAGATCTAGATTATAGATTTAGATTATTAGATCTAGATTATTAGATCTAGATTAGATCTAGATCTAGAATAGACTAGAATCTAATCTAGATCTAGATTAGATGTAGATTTCTAGATCTAGATCTAGATCTAGGCCTAGTTATTCAATGAATTGTTTAAAAATGTTAGTCTAATTTACATGATGTGAGGCAGCATTGTGATATCAGGCACTTGTCAAAATAATGAAAATCAAGAAACTTGCATTTTTTTCAGCAGGTTTGGGAATTTTAATAGAATTTTTTGTTTTTTGGCTCAACACCTTTCAAGCCCTTTAATGAACACATTTGTGAGGCAGTGTGGTGGAATCAGGCTCTCGTCAATTTTTGGGCATGTAGAGTTATTGCGAAAGAAGGAAGTGGGGGTCACCTGTTTTCAGAGGTAAAATTAGTGAGAAAATGGCTGCCAAAGATAATTATATTTCCTTAGCTTAAGAGTCCGTGGTAACTGAAAATTTATATTTTTGTGCCTTTAATCAACGCTTTTCACAAAAATCCACAAAGAAATGAGTTCTTTGATGGGCCTGAAAGGTGTCTTGAGCCAAAAAACAAAAATTTGATAAAAATTCACAAACCTGCAGAAAAATGCAAGTTTCTTCACTTTGATTATTTTGACGAGAGCCTGATTCTACCACGCTGCCTCACATTTCTGTCTGGATTTTACTGAAAAACGTTGATTAAAGGCATAAGATGTAAATTTTTAGTTTCCATGGACTCTCAAGCTAAGGAAATACTTAACTTTGGTGGCCATTTTCTCGCTAATTTTACCTCTGAAACCAGGCCACCCCCACGCTCCTTCAATCGCCAAAATTTATTTTTAACATCAGTAAGGCAAGAGGACAGGCTTTTTAAAGATAATACCAACTCCATCCAAAATTAACGAGCGTCTGATTTCACCTCGTCGTGACACATATATTTTGATTTTGTTATAGATCTAGATCTATAAATGGGGCAAAGATTGAATATTGAGGGCGTTTAACGATTTTACTAAATTTTCATCAAGAATACATTTGTAATCGCATATATAGAGGCATAGAGATCGTGAAAGTGGTTAGGTTTAGTGGGGCTCTTTGGAAATTGCCTTCCCATTTGTTTACATAAGAAACAGAAGTGATTGCTGACAAAAGTGGCCATGTAGGTTAAGTGAACTCTACCACATTGGCCACATTTCTGCCTTTTTTGTATTAAAAAAAATTATTTTGGCCGTATTGAACTTTGGTGGACCCCCCCGTGTTTAGATGTGTATTAATGCGCACAAGCCATAACAGTGGGGGGTGTTTGAGGAGGGTTGATACCAAGCAACACCAGATGGGAATTGTGTGTAAACGTGAAGATTGCGTGTGTTTTTTTGTGTTTTTTTTATTATTCGTTTTTGCCAGGGGGGGCAAGCCCGCCTGAAACCCCCGCCGGCCAGGTGTGTCCCACAAAGTCAGTTTGTCTGGCCCACTGTCATCATTCATCATGTCGAGACGCGTTCTACCGATTTGCCCTCCCCCCCCCCCCCAGTGGATTGCGCAATGCATTTTGTGGGTCAATAGAATGCGCAACAGATCTTAGATCTTATAATCCGTGTGTCGAGTGTTTCGTTTTTCTGCTATGAAATAAGGATGTAAAAATTATATGAGGTCCATGCATCCATTTTGTTGACATTTCACAAAGCGGAAGTTAACGTCATTATGACTCAATAACTGACCTAGATGTTATATAATGGAATTCCTCCCCCTCCCCCCCCCCTCAGGCAGGTGTACCGCCCAGAGCAGGCACCAACGATCACACGTCTCACAGACCATCAAAAACTGATAGGATGCCATATTTAATATGAGATTCCTAGTCTAGTGTGTGTTTTTTTTTTTTTAACAAAATGTGTGTCTTCACCGTGAAATCAGGAGCTCGTCTAAATAATGAAATTGAAGAAAGTAATGTTTTTCCATCAGTTGGGTAATTTTCTACTAGTCTCAGTCCCTTTACACTTTACTGTCCATTTAAAGATACATTTCTGTCTGGATTTTATGGAGAAAAATACCTGTTGATCACTGGCACAAAAAATGAATGAAAATTCGGGTGTTAATAAAAATGCTAGAGATATCTAATGTTTTCAGTTCCCATTCTACAATTCTAATTCCTTTTTTGGTGAACATGTGATCATCACGCTCAGTTTTGGTGGTTAAAGTTTGTTGAAAGGAGGGAGGGGGCGGGGTCCCCCTGATTTCAAGTCTTGGAAAATAATTTTATCTTTTTACTGGTTTATTACGACTTACTTTTTGTGAATCATAAACTTGACCTACTGTCCATGTGTGTATTATTGCCACATACTTGTGAACCATAAACTTGACCAACCCCCCCCCAGGGCAGTGCTACTGACTGAAGTGTCTTCAGGCCTTTCGCAAAGGGGGGATATTAACATGTTCTTAAGCATAGTGGAATTGTAAATGGGCTGATTTATCAATGTCATGCTCATACTGTGCCGGAACAACATTGGGGGAACTGCTGCTTTTTCTTTCCTCATCCTTACTATCGTCATTTTCCCTCTACTTCTTTTGTATGTTTGTCACTCTCTTGTGAACTGCTATTTCCAGGGTGCCTTGATAGTCGAAGCAGACTTTGTGCTTTTGAGGCTTGAGAGGTGAGCAAAGTAAGCCTGATTCCCTCTTTAGACTTCTCTGTTGACATCCACCCCTTGGCGCTCATATGACCTTATGCAGTTGCGAGCGCTGTAAAGCCTTATTAAAACTAAACTTAACTAAAACTTCACCAAGCTTTCCGTGTGTGTTTTATTGCGACTTACTTTTTGTGAACCATCAACTTGACCAACTGTCCGTGACGTGAGTGTGTTATTGCAACACAGGTGTGAACATACTTATGAACCATCACCTTGACCAACCATCCATGTGACACACTTGTGAATGATAGACTGGACCAACTGTCCATGTGACATACTTGTGAACCATCAACTTGACCGACTGTCTGTGTGTGTGTCATTGTGACCCTGTATCTGTGTGTGTTTCAGGGCTCTGTGCAGCCAGCACAACCGTTTGACCCGGAGAAAGCGGCCGAGGGACTGCGGAAAGCCATGAAAGGACTGGGTATGGAGTTTAATCTATTTCCTTCTTTGTGGGTGGTTGGGAGGTGCTCTGGTGTGGTTTGCTTCTTCTTTCCCATCAAACGTCTATCGTCTTTATCTCCCCTCCTTTTTGGTGTTTGTTACTCTCTTGTAACACCTCTAATCTTCGGCACTTATATATGACATTATTGTGTTGCAAGTGCCGTAAAACTCTTACTAAAACCTAAAACCTTTCCTTCTTTCCTTCTTTCTTTTTTCTTTTGTTATTGTTGTAACCTCGACCTTCTCTCTTCCCTCTCCTCTTCCTCTTCCTCCTCCACTCCTTCCTCCCCCTTCTCCTCCTCATCCTCTTCCACCACTTACAACTCCCCCACCTCCCTCCTCCTCCTCCTCGTTCTCACTCCCATTGTTTCTTCTTCATCCAGACGGGTTGTGTCAAGAGTCAATGTTGTGTGTGTCATTGGTAATACATGTAGTTTATGTGTCATTGGTAATAGTTTATGTGTCATTGGTAATAGTTTATCTGTCATTGATAATAGTTTATATGTTACTGGTAAGAATTTGTGTGTCATTGGTAATAGTTTATGTGTCATTAGTAATAATTCTGTCCCTGCAGATTTATGCAAAAAAGAAATTCTGAAATTATGCAAACTGAGCCCCAAAATGTGAAATTATGCGATTCTGTTAATTTTAACAAAGAATGATAAAAGAAAATAATCAGAAATTTTGCACAAAATGATCAAATTTTGATAATTTATGCAGGGTGCATAAAACCCTGGGGACAGATAATCTATGTGTTTCACTGGTACATGTAACAGTTTGTGAGTTACTAGTAATCGGCATTTGTTGCTGGTTTTGTATTGGTACCATGGTCCGGGTTTGCTCTTTGGAATATTGTTTCTCCGTATTCAGTTTTTCTTGCCTTTGACACAAAGTTTTGTTAAAGTTGTACAGTTTATACACAAAACACAAACACAAACACAAACACACAGAAATGCACACACAAACACACTCACACACACACACACACACA